AATAAGTATAGATATTTGTACATTAATAAGTACAGGCTATTGTCCATGCAAAATAAGACATCTCCTGAAAAAAGCCCAATTGCATATTTTGGAGCAAAAAATTAATCAAGACCCAGTCTTTTTTTTAATTTATTTATGTGTGTGTGTGTGTGTGTGTGTGTGGCCGGCTCAGCCCACCAGGGGGCGGGGCTGGCTGGCATGTGGTGCTGGGGATTGAACCGCGGTCCCTGTGCTTTGCTGAGCTTCTTCTAAGTAGGTGCTTTAGACCACTGAACCATCTCACCAGCCCTGCCATGTAGTTTAGACTGGCCTTGAATTCACCATGTAGCCCAGCCTGGCCTTGAACTCACAGCAATTCTCTTTCCTCAGCCTAAACCTTGCCAGTGCTGAAATGACAGACATGCACCACCATGCCCAGCTCTGCAGAATGTTATAGTTGTGCTTTCAGTTTTTTTTAATTCAAATTACTGAGGTCATGTCACCAACTGATGTGGCAGGGTAGGCCACTCTCTGAGGCTGCCTTTTGTTCATGGCAGCTTGAGCTATCTTCAGACCTGGGGTAGATCCAGGCCCTGGGGTGGAGCTGTGGGCCCAGTGCTGGCTTTAGGGCAAGACCAAGCAGCTGCATGTGGTTGGTACAAGTTGTCAGCTGAGGTCTCCACTTAGCATCTGTGAGCACCTGCCAGTACCAGGCTGTCCCAACAGGAACGTTCTAGAGTGCTGGGTGAGAGAGATGACTCTGTTTTTGCAGAGATGAGGAGGGCTGTGCAAAGGGCAGTGGTGGTAGGGGAGAGGGAAGGAGGGAGGAGCCACCAGCCCACCTGGTGACAGTGCAGAGGTGTTTAGCATTTGGGGAGTACCTGTCTACACTGAGGGCCACAGTCCACATAGCCAGGCTGGAGTGTGCAGGTGGGACACACTACTTAGGAGGCAGATTGGTGGGTAAGGCGTGGGACCACACTTGGGGTGGTGGGCAAGGGCTGTGGTCACATGTGGGGTTGGCCAGGTGGTGGCAGCAGAAGGATTGGGAGAGAGAGGTGAGATTGAGCCTGCTCTTTGTGAGTGACACTAGAGTGTTCCTGTGGTAGCCACAGGTCAAGGCCTTGTGTGTGATCTAGGGATTCAGCCTCTTTCCAGCCAAGAAAGAAGCTCAGATTCAGTGGTTAGTAGTGGCTCTGGGTGAGGGGGTGGTTTGTAGTGAATGTTGCTGTCCATAAAAGCCTTTGTTGAGTAAATGTTGAAAGAATCTGCTGAAAGGTAAAATAGGTAAAACTCTTAAAGATGTAGGTGTAGGCAAGTACTTTCTGCAGTGTTCTGTTTTTTGGCTTTTTTTTTTTTTTTTTTTTTTTTGAACTAGGGATTGAACTCAGGCCCTTGCACTTGCCAGGCAAGTGTGTATTCTACTGAACTATCTCCCAAGCCCCTACAAGCACTTTCTGAACAGAACCCTGATAGTGAAAAATAGCACCAATTAGCAAAGGAGATCACATGAAACTGAAAAGCTTTTTTTTTTTTTTGGTGGAACCGGGGATTGAACTCAGGTCCTTGAGCTTGCCAGGGAAGCGCTTATTCCACTGAGCCATCTCCCCAGCCCCAAAACAGAAAAGCTTTTGCTCAACAAAGGAAACCATGAACAGAGAAGAGAACCAACATTTTACGAGCTGTTCCTCAGAGGACTGGTATCTAGCACAGACAACCCAAGGGGCTTGTGGGTTAGCTCAGTTGTTTAAGTGCCTGCTTGAGCAAATGCAGTCAGGCACAGGGGACCACAGTTGGATCCCGGGCCCTGGCCTTAAGGCAGCCTGAGCCAGCCCCCGCCACACACACACTAAAGAAAATCAAAGAATCCAAAATAAAAGCCCCAATCAGACACTTCTAGAAGTGCAAATAGTACAAATAAATATGTTAAAATGAAAGTTCAACGTGTGTGGCCATTAGAGAAGTGAAAATTAAGATAACATTAAGATTCCTTCTTCCTAGGGGGCCGGAGAGATGGCTCAGTGGATTAAGTGCTTCCCTGGCAAGCATAAGGGCCTGAGTTCAATCCCTGGTTCCG